GACATATATATATATATATAGACATACGTATGTATATACATGTACGTCAATTGATGAATGATTACCTATTTAGTAAGTTTTTTCTGTGTACATATTCAAGAATTGTACGTTTGGTCACTGAAACAACTGGAATGAAAATATTGAAATAAAAAATATATATTGTTTTACGAGTTTCTTGATGTTAATATGCTTTATATTTCAAAAGCTTTTGAAATTCGCAGACAGACATGGTGGCGCAATAGAAGCGCTCCTGATTGGTCAATTGCAATAGATGAGCAACGCCACACCTTAGGGTGCCTGTACATGGGCGTCTTTATGTCTTAAGACTGTAAGCCACACCTATGGCGTGTGATTTAAATTTTTATTGTTTTTTTCCTCTCCTCAATAAAGTTAAATAAAAAAGGAGGGATACAAATGACATTTTGTGATGATAACATTTAAGATTTAAATCTTTAATAATACACAACGTTTTAAAACAAAAACAGAAACAAAAACTTTGTTTCAAAATTATATTGTGACATTTGTTTCTAAAGTTTTTTAATTCTCTTAACTGTTTTACACCGCAACGACAATTAAACTCATTAATTATGATAACTACAATTACGAATTTTACACAATTTTACGGTTACTCTTTTATGAGGCTCTAAATATTTAGTTTAGAGCATCGTTTAGAGAAATGTTTACTGTAAGCTAGCGCAAATTATTGAGTTGGTCATTAAATAAGTCATGAATGAAAAAAAAAATTAAAAAAAGATATATAAAATATTTTCAAATGCCAGTATTAAATTTTAAAAATATTTCCTCCATAAATCACACGGTTGAACAGATCGATCTATGACAATAAAATGTGATAATTGAATCGAGAAAAATGTACACAAGTTGTTACACACCACGAGAGTTTCTTCGACGGCTATTAAAATTCTTTCCTCGAGCTTGTTGCGCCTGGGGCTGGCGAACCTGGCCATACCAAAGTTTTTCAGGCAGCCAGCCACGAATTTTCTGTGCTCGCGCCATAGCTCTCCCTCAGCAGCGATGATACCTGCAACAACAAACAGAAAAAATAACGTAAAATGAAAATATGCACAAATCATTTTTCCGTAAGAATACCGAGTTTTTCTTCCTCACGAGGTTGGCTGCGTTTTTAATTTAGTCGTAGCGTACAAGCGCACATTTTTCTCGGAGGCATTAGCCTCAGTTGTGATGTCGCATACGTTTTCCGTCCCTTTCACTCAACGCGATCGTTGTGTACACCAACGTGTGAGCGATGTTAGATATAAGTAACGAGGAAAATCTAAATGACGCATTTGTACGATTCATTGAACTCTTTTCTGGTCAAACGTACCTGTGCACGTGCGCGTGTATGCAAAATTCATTTGATAGTAGAAAAAACAATATTTACAAATTAGAAATTAGAGGGGGTTTTTTGCTTGTTGGGCACAGAGATTTCTGAGATTTTAGTGATATGACAGTTTCTACCTTTAGGAATTGAATGCTGATTGACTGTAATTTTCTCATTGGCTATTGGCTCATACTAATTTTCAAACAAGTTTCTGTAATTAAACTAAGCTTAATTCATGTCTTGTTACTTTTGTATATTAATCTCTTTGTTAAGTGATTTTGATAACTTACTCCGCCAATGGGTTTAAAATGAAGACTCCTTCTGTATGGCATCCCATATGGTATGTTCATACACGATGACAAAAGGATTCAAACAAAACATATTTCTTTTTTAAGATGTACATAAATTAAATAATGAATTAAATTTTTTATGAAAACTTGTTTGTAACTTGTACATAAATAAATCGAAAAATGATGAAAACAATTTTAAGAACGTTTAAAAAATGTTTGACGCACGTGAGTTGTCACACAAATTTCGTGACAAAATTACAAAAAAATTATGTCAATTAAGGTAATAACGATTTTCATTTTTTTCTAGACAAAAATTTTGTAATAAAAATGACATCTGCTGCACTGTTAAATCATTCATTTTCAGAAATTTTCGCGTTCGCAGTACCTGAACGTACTTTTTAACAGTAAAACGACGAGGTGTAATGATTGTAGTTACAAAAAAAATTGGCATGAGAAAAAAGGAAAATCCGAGGTACAAGTCAATGATCGAGCATAAGTAAAGGCTGGGGGAAACCGGGGCAAGAAGAACACCGTAAAAATAGAGAAAAAGTTAAAAGAAAAAGAGTGGCTGGTCGAGCGTGTGCCACTGGTGTGTGCAGTTTGTGTGTATGTGTGTGTGTGTGTTGCGAATGTCTTTGCATAGTGCATTAAGAAAGAGAGACAGAGAAAGAACGAGAGGTGCATAAAAAAAGCGAAAGGATTAACGTCATTCCGTTTAAGTAGGCGCAGCCACTGAACTCGTCGAAGGATAATCCGAGTCCGAGAGAGGATTGAATAAACAATGATCCACATCTCTCTCTCTCTCTTTTTTTGTCTTGAACCTATGCCTACACTTATTAACTACTCGTCGCTTGACAATATGTGCATGTGGGTGTAACTATACGTGTACGTTTGGTAAGTTATCGGATCATTATTAACGCCTGCAGTCGCTCTTTTCGAATCGAGAGTGTTGAAAAAAAAGTGGTGGCTTTGTGCACCAATGCGATTGTAAATCTTATTATAATGAGCCAAAAAACGAAGATGCGAGTCAAGGTGACAATGCGCGTCTTTTAAGATTATTAATAGGTGGTACGTGTTGAAAGTAGCCTTGCGAGCGGTTGTTGGTGTCTTGCAGGAAGATGTTCAGAATTCGTTGCTGATTTGCATTCTCTTACGTAGATACCCAACTGGTAGATCGTCTGACTTTGACAACCCAGGGTTTGAGGAAATCAATTATGCTAAAAAAAGGATCTTTATGCGCATGTAGTGTGTTGTTCATTCAAAATTATACATGTTGCAATCAAAATTAAGCTTTAAGAACTTAAGTGTGAAAACTTAAAAAATTTGGACATTTTATCAAAAGCAATATCTGAAGTTTGCACAAGTGATTTTTAAGAAGTAACCTGCATTATGCACATGTAGAAAATCCTACATAAGGTACTGTAGGATCCAACACGACGATTTTTTATATTTATATGAGATTCACAAGCATTAAACACAAAAATAAATACTCATGTGTTGTTGTCAAATGTTTTATTACAGGGACAAAATTATGCCTGATCAATAAATTAAAAGAAAAAGTTA